CTAGGCAAATAAATTATTTCGTAAGCGATTCTCGCTCCTGTTTTAAGGCTAATCCTAAAGGGTTGGAATTTAAGAATATTCATTAGGGTTTCGTTATTCCGATACCTCTGCATCAAGAAACCTCTTCAATGTTGTTCAATGTTGTCTATATAGATTGGATTTGTGTATGCCTGCCTCTTTATTTATCTATGTGAGTAGTTACGATTTCATCAAACATGTAACCCATAAAAGTTAATACAATATTTACGAACGAAGCCAATAGCTGAAGCCATATAGTCGATGTGTCTAGTTAATTGAAAGCTCAATAGATATATTTTAATTGGCTAGTCTAGTCTAATATACTCCTAGATCTAAAATTGTATGGTAGATGGGTTTCGTCATGTGGGCAAAACTCCTAGTCTTCGAAATTTAATATATAGTCCAGCTAACTTCTCTATTTATCTATCAAATACCAGTTAAAACTTTGGGTGGATGATTCCCTCTCGCTGGAAAAGTAATTGAAGCTCGTAAACAAATCTCTTAGTCATATTTTAGGTAACTAACTTCTGCTTTCGGAAGTTCCCATATATGTATATTGGCTACATTTTTAATGAAAAGGTATTTAGCCATGATTAAAATATTATATTAAAAAGTCTTCACTTTTCCTATTCAGGTTCAGTCTGTTCAAAAGAGTATGAAATAAGCTAGCTTACCAATTTGGGTAATTCCTTTGTAAAGCTGAGCAGCCAGTTGAGAGGCTCCTCCTAGCCTAAGAATATTTACCTAAGCATAACCACTAATCTATTCTCTTCTTAGATATGCCAATTTGAGCGCGCGTTCCTCAGACATCACTTCGCTGTTAGGATCGATAGCCAATCAGATGTCGGTGCTGGAGACGGGTCAGCAGTGTCAGGTGCCACACGTAAGTCGAGCAAACATGAGTAAAAACTCGAGCTTAACATTTCAAGGTCCTCCACAGACCCTCGAAGCATATGCAGGCGTGATCAAAGCGATTTTGGGCAGACAACAGCGCTTCTTTGTGCTCATCATAGACGGATTGGATGAGCTGCAGCGGGATGCGGAGCTCGATTGGCTGCCACTGCAGCTGGGCAGCTGCGGCAAGCTGATATTGACGGTCAGCGAGCGGGAGGACGAGGAGGACGAGAGCGATTCATTCGATATGCTAGCAGCGCTGGCGCAGCTGGGCATTCCACAGCGCTGTTTCCTGCGTCTGCGTCAGTTCACCGAGCGCCAATGGCACGACATACTCAGCTCTGGTGGCGGCGATTTCTATGCAGCTAACGGGGCACTGAAGCTGCCCGACGATTGGAAGTCGCTGCACGGCAAGACGCCCTACCATGCCAAGTCGCTGTGGTGGCTCGCCTGGCTGGGCCATGTGGCGCAGCCAATTAGCGAGATCGGGGATATATCCAGCAAGATATTACAGGTGCTGGAGACGAAGTTTGCGGCAGATCAGGTGGAGCTGATGCTGTTGATTGTGCGACTGTCGCCGTGGGGCATACGGGAGAGCGACTGCTTGGGCGTTTTTCAAAAGATCACACAGCTGGAGGCGCAGGTCGTCTTCAAGATTTGGTCCAAGTTCTGCTGGCTGATGGGACCAATGCTTTTAAATCTGAAAAATATTAGAATAGCGGACAGGAGCTTTGGACGCGCCGTCCTGTCGAGGTATGCGCAGAAGCAGTGGCTGGTACATGAAGCGCTGCGCGACTACTTCGATCGTCAGGAGAGCGAGTTCAAAGGCAGCGCCGGTGTCAAAACGTAAGAGAAACTCAAATCGAGACCAATATATCAAAGTACTCCCTAACTAACTTGATTCACACTTGCAGCTACAACTATCAGAAGTACTTAAAACTGCCTTATCATCATTTCTGTGCGGTGATCGAGGATAAGCCGGCGCCGCATAAGATCGACATACTCTTCAATTGTTTCTACTTTACGGACTTGCAGTGGATAGCCAACAAGGTGCATGCCACGGGTCCGGCGCATCTGATGCATGACATTCTGCATGCCGAGTGGCTGGCAGGCAGCGAGGGCTCTACGGGCTATGTACATATAAATTTCTTGAAGCAATTTCTGGTGCGCTACCTTCACGAGCTGAGCTACGATGGTCAACAGTTCTATACGCTTATGAAGTACTATCTGAAGACACGCTTCAAGGACGACGAGAGCCTGAAGGACGATGAGAAAATACGCTCCTGGTGGGAGTACACAAATGAGTTGGAGTTCGCCTTTCTTGAGATACTCAATGCCGATCTGGATGCCAAGGACAATGAGGCTAACGTTGACGAATCAAATGCCACACCAGCTGTCAGGGGCTACGATGTGCTGATGAATCTGCCGCAGCCGGGCTGCTATGTGGCGTCGCTGTGCACCGAGCGCGCTGAGATTTGCATCTGGGATGTGAAGAACTGTTGTCGCATACGCGAGCTCCAGGGCATTCAGCAGCCGACAGCCATGTGCCCAGTGGGCAATTACGAGGCGGCTGTGCTATGTCGTCGCGAGATTCGGGTCATCAACCTGGACGAGGGCAAGTTTAAGGTATGATTTACTGCTGATTCGATAACATAATTATTAATTATCATAATTTAATTACCATTCGCAGGTCACACTGAAGGGCGTCATGAACCAGAAGATGCCCTACTTCGGCCTGCACGATCAGAATCATTTGGTTTGTCTCTCACGCAACCGCATGTATGTGAATCTGATGAACCTGGAGTCGGGCGACTGTGTAACCACCTTCAAAGCGGGCGAGGATCGGTTCCTGAACTCGTTACTCGTCTCGGGCGACGGACGGTGAGCAAGCGAAGAATTATTCTGACTTAGCATTTGACCCATATTCAAATACTTGAATTTTGTAGAATTTTGGTTTGCGGCGATGAGACGCAAAAGCCATTCCCACTGCTCGTCTGGCATTTATCGCAGCGTAAACTGCTCTACGATCTGCGCATACCCCACCACGATTTTGTCACTTCATTATCGGCCATTACCCACGAGGGATCCTATGTGTGCGTGGTGGCCAAGGAGCTAAACGAACCGACAACGCCAAATTTCATTGTGGTCTACGATCTGCAGAGCGGCACCTTGTTCAAGAAGTGGAAGCCCAGCTGCAATACAGTATCATTGGCCATCTCTCAGCTGAATGCCTGCGTCATCGCTGGCCTGGAGGATGCCAAGATATTGATATGGGATCTGGTCACTGGAAATTGCAAGTGCACGCTCATCGGACACAATGCGCCCGTCACGTACTTGAAACTGGATCCACTCGGTAAAGTGCTGTTGTCCTTCGACAAGGAGGGACGCGACAGTGCAATACGCTTGTGGGAGTTGAACACAGGTGGGTCAAAGCACATCTAGCCTCTCAATGAATTCTTATGCTATTTTATATCATCTGGCTTACAGCTAAGTCCTTGGCCGTCTTTAAGCCACCAGCGAAGATCAGCACCTGCGAGATTTTGCCAAACGGTGCATATGTTGTGCTCGCCCTTGTGGATCGCAATGATTTGCTAACGCTCGCATTGAAGAACTATGGAGGCAGCTCGGCCAATGCTCTCGAGGATGACTGTGGCACCTTGTATGGCAATCCCGACAACCAGCACAAAGTTTTTAACTTAAGTAATTAAAAGTTGATACAGCTGCCTGAATCAATTAAACTTAGATATCATTATTCAAATTAAACGTACATTTATGAAAACAAAACCAAAAAAAGAAAAGAAATGCAAAGAAATTATAAATCCGAATTATATAAATATCACATAAAAAATCTTCTCATGCATAATTCATTAGTTGTATGTAAAATTTTTGAAAAAAAAAAACTTACCAGATGTACAAAAGGCTAAAGAAATAACCAAAAAGAAATTATAAATTAAAGATTCATTAAGTCATCTAGCTTTATTGTTGTTAATTATTATGGTTCTCCGATCAATTCTGTCGTCTCTCTTTCTCTCTGTCTTAGGTGGTGGCAAAAAGATAGAGCAAATTCTTAGCGAATTGAATGATTTCAGTGCCGCCCAGCTTGGAGGTGCCATAGATGCGATCCACAAAAGTGATGGGCACCTCGGCTATGGTGAAATTATGCTGACGAGCACGCACTAACATTTCCATTTGGAAGACGTAGCCCTTAGAGACGCAGCTGGAAATGCACTTTTCGAGCACCGGCTTCTTGTACAGCCTAAATGAGCCCGTCAAGTCGCTGGCATTGGGTCGGAGCAGCACCTGAGACAGATAGTTGGCACCACGCGAGATGAGCTTGCGCTTGAAATCCCAGCCGTAAACGCCGCCGTTGCCAGCATAACGAGTGCCGGAGACAATATCGTAGTCACCCGATTCCTGTAACTTTATGAACTCGGGTATAAACTTGGGCTGCAAGTAAAGAGACACACACGAATATATAAATATCACACGTCAGTGCAGTGCCATTATCTACGCTCACATGATGACTCAAATCGGCATCCAAGATAATAACAAAGTCGCCGGTTGCATGCTTTATTCCGTGAATGTAGGCGGTGCCTAGGCCCAGCTTGCCAGCGCGTGGCTGTAACACAATTGTATCTTCGCCATAGATCTTCTGCAGATCCTTGGCCACATCCAATGTGCCATCTGGACTGCCATCGTCGATCACAATCACCTCATAGTCGTAGCCGCTGGAAAAATAATTTGATTTTAATCAATTCGGTTATTCTACATTTAATTCAATTCAACTTACCTAGCTTTCATATATTTTACAATTAACCATATGATAATTGGTAAATTGTCCTTTTCGTTATATGTGGGCAGCAAAATGCTGTATTTATGGCCATTTGCTGGCATTTTGTTTTGCTTACTCCAATACAAATAATTTAATAAACATTAAGGTGGCGTTCAATTAAAGAACGAACTGGAACTTACACTAATCTAGATCTAGTTCGATTATTCTGCGCAACAATTCCAATGAACAGTGCTAGTAAATACAGTACGAAAGCAGCTGTTATTTATCGATATACCAGCGCTATCAATGAACTGCACTAACTGCAACTGTGCAAAGGCATTGTAACCACAGATACGGCGGAATGCACCGCTATTTAATTTTAATTGAGTTTGTGTTAAATATAAAATAGATGCTGCTAAAGGCACAACCTCGCGACTTCAATTAAGTAAATGTGTGTTTAGTGTAACTGCCTGCACAATGGCCAAGAAAATTCCATTTAATGTGGTATTTGCCTCAGGTAAACAAAATGTTAAGTATTAGAGAATCGTTCTGTGCTTTACAAATAATTGTGATTTACTTTTATGTAATTACGTTTCTTTTTGTTTTATATTTTTATTTTAGTTAACATTAGCTATGCGCTCGTCCAGCGCTGAGTATCGCGCGCCATTTGGCTGCACTTGAGAAATCGATAAAAAATCACACATACGCCTAGTGCGACGCCTAATTAAACAACATTCAAAAGTAATTTCACGGGATAGCAAAACATTTATTTATGACAATTATACATTTATATATTGATCTAGAGCAACCATTGAACACATTTAACACACATTTATTTTGAAAGACATAAGACATCAATTTTAGAATACTCTCTAACTGACTGCAATAATGCACTTGAAATCTATGATGCTCATTGTTTGCATATATCTTCATTATATTGACAGATTACGGTTTGTCATAATATGTCTGGCATGTCTGCAACGCATATCCAATTAAATATGCAGTCAAAGAATTTGTTTGGCAACGAGCCAAGCGCGAAGCGCTAAGCCAATTGACAATTCAAATTGCCTTCGTTGCGCTTTGGAAAGTTTATTTTGTATTCATTTTTTATTGTACTCAATGAAAGAGGATTCTCCCTTTCATGTAGCCTCATAACCTTCACCAATTTGTATACCTAGCCGACGGCCCCTTTTACGCGGACTTTTGCCTGCGGTACTTGAGCTTCGTTAGCAGCGAGCCCACCGGCCCAATTATGGTCAGGAGGTAGACCAATACCGTGGTTAGCATTAAGGCAGGTATAAATTCATGATCAACGACACGAGTAAAGAACTTTGAATAGTAGCCCAGGTAAATAGCCGTCATGCCAATCGTAAAGCTGAGCAGCCCAAAGAGATTATGACGGAATCGCATTTCCGATGGTGGAAATACTTTCAACGCAAATTTGGGCTGGAAGAAGTTAACCAGACCGCCAACAACGCTCGCAGCGCACCCAAAGGCAGCTGCCACACCTGAAAGTCAATTAAACTGACGTGTTTAGTGCTCACTGAGGTGTGAAATTTATGCGCACACGCACCGAATCTTCCATGCCATGTGTTAAAGTGCACATCCTTCTGGGAGAACTTGCCCAAGGCGCCCAGCAGCACCATCGAACCACCGACCAATTGCAGCACGCCATGCAAACGGGATTTGTTCTTGTGTGAGAGCCAGCGGGTAATTCGGTTTACCTTATAGTGTGACATCAATGCCTGAGCAATTAGTACATGAAACTGAAAAAAAAAACAAAGTATTAAGGTATAAAGGTGACAAAACCAATGATAAGCAGCACAGTTAAACTTGATATGAAAACAATGATTACGGGGTATTTAAATTTATAGTTACGTTATGTTATTGAAAATGTTTCGATATGATAATGGAGATTTCAATTTAAAGTTATGTTATCAAAAGTGGGTTCCGGGCTACTACTTACTCCTATGCCCGTCATGAACATGTGCATGGCCGTATCTTGAAATTCCAGACTCCTGGCGAGTGTGAAGAAGAAGGCACCCACCATAAAGATCAGCATATGATTTATGCTGTTTAGCAGGCTTTGAATTTGTAACAGCCATGGTGACGACTCAGAACCCGAGCTTGTTGCTTGCTTCATCTTGAAATCAGCCGTGAAGCAGAATAATGCGTTCCGCCGTGTCGCAGACTAAAAACGAGACTAAGTTATATTCTCAGTGAGCTGCGCATAGTACATATAAAGAGCGTCTGAACGATACACAGCCACGTAATCGTTGCTGTTTGTATGTGTGATAGCGTCATTCTCAGACCTCTCTAGAGAGGTTTTGTTTTTGTTTTCGCTTAATTTACACATGGGTTTACTAGCCGACAGTCGCTAACATTTGTTATGATTAGAGATGTGTCACATGCTTCACTTGAATAGTTCATTAAAATGATGAAATACAATATTCTTCTTGTAAGAGATCACAGATTGTTAATTAAGTTTTAAATTAATATATCTAAGATTTTTGTAAATGTTATACAAATTATAAACTATAGTTCCTTCACGATTGTTGAACTAACTGAACTGAAATGAGAATGAGCTAACATTGCCAACTCAATTTGATTTTTTCATTTCACAATATTCGTTGCTTACCAACACTGTTAATGTTAATGTTAATCAATTAAGCCTGCGTTTTGTTTTATTTTTGTGGTTTTAGATGAGGACCCCGGCTTTCCAGCCAGCGAACTTAATACACATGGCCCCACAGTACATGGCTGGCGCAGTGCCGTGGACAGCGGAGTCAGCACACACGACATCATATTGCGTTTCCATCAACCCGCTAAAATTTATCGCATCCAGCTCTTGGCCCATCAGTATTTGATACGTGAGTTTGGCTGTTTGTAGAGGAATTCTTTTACTAAGTAAGATTTGTTGTTTTAGCCGAAAAAGTGGAACTATGGCTGCACTACTCCCCAAAGTCTATGCCCAGCACTCCGTCCTCACAGTACTTTGATTTTCTTGGCTTTGTCGCGCTCGCCGACAATGCGAATACCAACTACAAATCACGCGAGTTGCAGAGCGTGACAGTGAATCCGAGGCGAGGAACGCACTTGAAGCTGCGTCTGATTGGCGTTCATTGCAATGAGTTGAATAGCACCCAGCAGATTGCATTGATAGCGGTCAATGTGCTCGGCGAGGATCTGGAAACGGCTGCCCTCAATGAAGGCGACGAGCATCTGGCCAGCGAGTCGGCGCCCATAGACACAGCCACGGGTGAACTAGCCCTGGCCTCCATATGTGATGATTTGCTATTTTCCATGTACGTGGAGGAGTCCATTGTACATTACATACGCGAACTGGAGCAGCGCAAGATTAAGGCAGTCAGCATGGAGAGATTCGAATATGCGCGCAAACTAAAACTTTGCATGACGGCACTGCGAACGGCGGGCGAGCGCTTGGGTCGCTATGCGTTGGCCAAGCGGCAGGCGGTGCAACAGGAAGATTTTAGTGCGGCCAAGTTGCGCAAGGAGCAGATCGAAATGTATCGCGCCTGTGTGCTCAAGCAACTCCAAGTGGAGCAACTGCTCGAGAACGAGGGAGCACTCAGCCAGAACGATCAGAGCTGCGAGATCTATGCGGGCGGCAAACCTAGCCTGCCAGCTGCACCGAGTCTTCAGGATGTGGCACACGCTCTGGCCGAGGCTGTCAGCAATCCCAAGTCCAGCAGTGTGCAGCTTGAAAAGTCGCCCAGCCATGAGGTTGCCATAGTTGCGCCTGTTGCTGCACTGCATCTGCATGCTAAATCCCACGACGAGCTGCCTCAGTCGCCGCGCCTGCCCATGGCATCGCGCCATAGCTCGCCCATGTCCAGTCGCCAAGGATCGCTAAGGAGGCGAAATAAAAGTGCACCGCGTAATTCTTACGAGGATTACGAGGAGCGAGCCATACCCACGCTGAGACAGTAAGTTTGAGTATAAGAAACAGATCAATCTGTAGCTATTGCTGTTGTTGTTGTGATTAGGGARCAGTTTGCATGTGGCATGAGTTGGAAGCAGCACAACACAAACAAATAGTTATAGAACCGCCGCAGTAAGAGTAATTGTCGTCGATGTTTATGCTGCTTTTTTTCTTTTTATTTCTCCATTTCCGTAAACGTTGTCTCGTTCCTTTACCATTAACTGTTTAGCTCAAATACTAATGAATTTTTAAGGGAGTGTCAGGGCAACGCGCTGCTCGAAGCGGACCCCAATCGCAGCCGTTCCCGGCTCAATGACCGCGAGCGTCGACAAGCTGCGCTGCCCATCTTGGTATTTGGCAGCGAACTGGTAAGATTGGCCAACCGGTTAACCAGCCTCGATGTCCATAGTTTTCTGATGTGATCTCTTGCAGGTTGAGCTATTCTATTCGCGACAGTTTCAGGATCGAGAGGATGGGCTAGTGCGCTTGCGCAGCTTTCTCAAGGAACAGGAAACGGATGAGGCGGCTAGCAATGAGCATGCAGCCAGTCCCAACAAAGTTGCACGCAGCGCTGCTTTGCTGCTGCATCGTGCCGTCCGAGATGCTGTCTATTCGGTGTTTAATCAGGCGACCGAAACGGTGCGGGTGCTGTTCCTTGAATATGTGCCCGGTCGCGTGTCGCCCAATGAGGTGGCCCGATGCGTGGATCGTCTGCTGCCAGAGCTGCTGGCAAAGTCGGGTGATCCCTCGGCGCGTTTGCATACGCTGGCACAGCACACCATACTCAGCATCGCCGCATGCCCACAGGTGGCCGAGCAGCACCTGGTCGCACCTGCGCTGTCGCGAAGCGTTGGCTCTGGCACGCATCAGCGTCTAGCCATGAGCCGGCTGCAAATGCTCGAGCAATTGGTGAACACACAAGGAATTAGCACTGACAAGCATAGCGGATTGACATGCCGAGCTCTGTCCGACTGCGGATGCTCGGGCATACATCATCCAGCGGAACCAGTACGCAAGGTGGCTGAGCGTATACTGCTGCTCGTCTATAAAGTGAATCCGCGACTGGTACGCAAACAGCTGCCACCAGACGACGACATTACGCGTCGCAATCTGCTCTACCGCCAGCTTTTCACGGAGTTTGATAAGCTGGATCTGGAGCGCAAGCAGGAGCTGCTAGAAGTGCACAATTCAGGCAATGATGCGGAGCTAATGCAGCCCACAACCAGCACAGACGCGTCGCGGCTGCTGAAGAGCAAGAGCGGAATGGCATTGGGTGCCTCCGTGGTGGACAATGGCTACGTCAGCTGCAATGGCAAGCAACAGTACAATGAGCAACTGAAGCGCTCCATGCAGTCGGTCTCGAATTCACGCAAGGGATCCGCAACCAACTCCGAGTCCACTGAAGAGACAACGCCAAAGATGTGAGCACCACACAGTGTAATTAGAAAATCCCGTATGTAAGCTGAATCCTTCATTTTAGCAATTGCATGTTTTGTGGCTGGAGCTGCCCTGGGAGCGATGCTGGCCAACTGGATCGTCACTATTGGAAGACTTGTCCCTTTCTCACCAAGTGCCCACAATGTAGCCAGGTGCTGGAGGTAGCTGCGCTCAACTACCATTTAATTAGTAAGTTTCCCCAGTTATTCTTCCTTGAATAATAATGACAGTTGACAGTATCTTTCTCGAATTACAGACGAATGCGAAGCCAAGGAGAGCTATGTGGTGTGCACGCGCTGCACGGAGTCGGTGCATAAGCAGCTATATGAGCTGCATCAAATGGAGGACTTTTGTCGCGGTATTCTTCAATCTTTCATTTCTCTTGTAGCACACACTTAACAAATGTATATTTGTTTTATTTCAGAGCTTAAAACTGGCGCTGCTCGCTGTCCACTTTGTCATGATGATGTGCATCTGCCATTAGACGGAGGCTGGAAATTGCATCTATTAAGCGCTGGCGGCTGTCCAGGCAATATACGTAAACGGAATTTAAAGAAATCAAACTAAACAATACCTTGCGACGACACAAGTCATCAATAACTGAACTATCTGTCTATTATAAGGTAGATCATTTATGACAAGCCAACTATTACGGCCATTAGCGTAATTTAAAGTAATTTTTGTTACACACAGATTCAATTTAGCACATTTTGTTACAGGACTTGGTGTTAAGTTCACCATTATTTATGCTTTATACATTTTGTTAAACTTTATACGAGTATATATGTTTTCTACGCAATGTGATTTGTTAACTTATACATAAACACGAATTTCTAAACGTCCCACAATAATAAAGCCAATCAACTGAAGTTTCGAATGTGAGTTTCTATTCAAGAAAAAAAATAGATATGCTGAAAGTATTTTGGTAAGGCCGCCCTTATTCGGGCTGGTGGCACTTTTGTTGCAGCCATGAATACATATTTGAAAAGGGGTAGCTAATTTTAATGTTCATAATTTTAATTTACATAAGTAAGCGGCTTATTAAGAATTAGCTTAAGAAAAAATGGCGGTGAAAATTTAAATTTGAATTTATAAATTCCGCCAATAATCGATAAATTAGAGAACGTTCTGTGCTAGACAATAGACAATCGACCTGGTCCTTTATTGAGCTGGCAGCACTGTTGCTGCAGCATTAAGTGCCACTTTTTCATGAGGCAATTAATTGGCCCTCAACACTCGCGAATAGTTCGATGGTGTTAGATTTAAGTAAAAAGTATTTGTTTAATATAAATGTATTATAAATAATAGATATAAATATATATACCATCTCTAAGGTGAATGGGTCAAAGTGTGTGTTGCAAAACAACCCCCTGACCAGCTGAGAGTGTAAGTGTGTGTGTGTGTGTGTCAGTAATTTAGTGTATATAAATGCCTGTGTGTGAGTGCACGCGCGCGCGCCTGTGTGTGTGTGAAGCGTGAAAAAAACAGCCGGCAAAATTGGTTTTTGTTTTCGCATGTGAAATTAATTGACCAGTGGCCGTGCTTCGTTCTGTATGTGTTGTGGTCAGTAAAAGTAACTCTATCGCGCAAAACAGTTAACGATGCGCTGAACATTGACAATTAACGTAAAAGCCACTGCCGCCATTCAGTCAATTGCCACAACAACAATTAGAACAGTGGCGCCGTTGCTGCCGTGTAAACCATATTCATTTATAAGAGAGACACTCTCGCGACTAAAATAGACAACGGAGCACGTGCGTTACGCCTGGAATATACATATACATACACATACAAAAAGATGCAGCGCTTGTGGCGATTGTTGCATTGGCGGTACCTGACACGGGAGCAAATCAATGGCTTTGACAATTACAAGGTATGATGGAGCAGGGGGGATGGCGTCGCACTGGTCCGTTCATAAATCTAATGTATCTTTCTATATATGCAGTACAGCGCCATAGACACGTCGCCGCTCAGCCAATATGTAATGCATCCATTTTGGAATTGGCTGGTCAAGGTGAGTGCAGGCGGCATATTCATAACAACATCAGCAACAACAACAAATGACAAACAAAAAAATCAATAATTTTAATAACTTACGTATTCATTATTCATGCAGTTCTTCCCGCGCTGGTTTGCGCCCAATCTGATGACCTTTCTGGGCTTCCTGTTCAGCGTGATGAATCTGGTGCTGCTCTCCTACTATGATTGGAACTTCGAGGCCAGTTCGGGCGAGGAGGGCACCACACCGATACCCAAGTGGGTGTGGCTGAGCGCAGCAATCAACATATTCCTGGCGTACACGCTGGATGGCATTGATGGCAAGCAGGCGCGTCGCATTGGTCTGTCCGGGCCGCTGGGCGAACTGTTTGATCATGGCCTGGACTCGTATACGGCGATGATCATACCCACATGCCTGTACAGTATCTTTGGACGCAGTCGGGTCTATTCAGTGCGGCCGATGCGAATGTATTACGTTTGTCTAACGGTCTATTTCAATTTCTTCGTGTCGCACTGGGAGAAATACAACACGGGCGTATTGTATCTGCCGTGGGGCTACGATGTCAGCATGTGGGGCAGCACGGCCATGTATTTGTTCACGTGGTGGGCCGGCTTCGAGCGATGGAAATTCGCTCTGCCATTGGGCCCGCTCGGCAGCCTGCCTTTGGGCAATGTTATGGAAGCGGTGCTGCATATCAGCGCCATGGCCAATCTACCTCTAGTAGTTATCAATGTCTACAAGTAAGGGTCTTGCTCTATCACTGGCCAAGCGTTTCAATTAACATTCAATTTTGTCACTTACAGCTCATATATCAAGCGCACCGGCCGGATGCTGTCGGCATGGGAGGCAGTGCGTCCGATGTGGCCATTCGTGACCTACTTTGTGCTGCTGTTGCTCTGGCCATTTTTATCGCCCAATGATATTATGGAAAGGGATCCGCGCGCCATGTTCATGCTAAGTGGCACAATCTTCTCCAACGTCAGCGTAAGTTCCTTATCTTCCCTTATCTCTGCAGACTATTGTGAGAGCGTTACATACTTACATTTGGCCTGAAGGCTTCAAATTATTAAGTTTTGTTTTTTGTTTGTTGTTAAAAATTGCTATTATCATGCTCGAGCCCTCGAACACTTGTTGGGTCATTAGCGAACTAATTGTCTGCCCGCCCAGCCCTCTCCTCTGACCAAGCGTCTAATAACGGGGCAAGTGACTCAGTTTAGATATGGAGTGGCGTGGTTATGTATTCGTCATTTTAAGGGGTTTCTTGGCTAATAACTAATAAAAACAACTCAATATCGCTGATAGCTAAGATAACAGAACAATGAGTGCTTAATAATAACAATAAATATAATAATAAATAATTGTTAGTCTTACGACTATAAACTTGTATATTAGTAGTTCTATAATGATTGATAAGAATGTAGGCTAGCTACAGCGAACACAGATAGTTTTGATCAATGTTTGGGCTAGACACTTATCGGAAGTGCTATATATCAAAGTTCTTAGAAGTGAAAATGGAAATAATCTAAGTAATTCATGTATGCGGCTGTTAAACTAAACGTGTTATAGTCTTGGAACTTGGAAATAGGACCAATGGTTTACTTATATATCCATCACAACTAGGAACGTGGCAGATCGGGTTTTTTTATATGTTTTTGTTTTGAGAGATTTTGTTTTGAAGCTAATAGTTTTCCCAGTCTGAGAAATAGGAACACCAAATTTTCGAAATAGAGCTGACTTTTGGCTGAGTTCCTCGTCATATAGCCAAATAGATTATATGTTCCATTCTGAAAATATCGATTATAGTTATGGTCATTGATTAGCGATGAAAAATGATTAGATCTTCTTATCTAATCTAAACGGCGTTCAGTATGCACCTCTTTCAAAAAATGTTCACTTACGTTGATACATGCGAAAGTCTTAAATCTTATGTTAACTACGTAACTTCTTTCAATATAAAATTTGATTGGGAAAGACACTCTTTAGAAATCTCTTATGGGTTTCCAGAATATCAACTGTCTAAAGGAGCACAGAATTGTACATATTTTTGTGTTACAATCTTAGAATGATCTCTCTATGCCTATCAATAGATACTGAGAGGACTTCAAAATTACGACACAATCAAAGCAGTCTTTAGATGTCAGTTTCTGTAGTCTAAAATTCTCAGCTTTCATAACAATAATAACACTCAGAAAAAAAAAAAAACATTCGAGAGAGAACTTTATCGACATGCCGCCATTTTGCTGTGGCGGCCGGCGCTGTGCCAAAGACTTGGAGAAGACGAACGCTGAAGGAGACGATGCCACCGAGGAGCAGCAGGCGAAGGCGTCGCCGATAACAGTGACCGAGGCGGAGAAGCCGCTGACCCTCAAGTTCTATGCCCGCCATGATTGGCCCTATTACCGCTGCACCGATGAGGAGATTAAGCGCATGCGCGAAAAGTTTGACAAGAAGGGTCCCGAGATAAATGTACCGGACGCTGATGGCAATTTCAAGAAGTATGAGCCGAAGCACTCGACACCGCAACCAGTGACAGAGAATCAAATATACGGCTGGTATCACAATCGCGCCTTTCCGTACAAGGCCAAGGATCGCGGAGTCTTCGTATTTCCACGCGAAGCGGATCCATTGATAAAGCTGATTCTGGAAACCAATTTGATGGCTAAGCAAAAGTCGCAGACATGAGTAGATATGATTACCTGCATTAAATTATGCCTATGGCTAATATGATGCATATAGACATGTCTATCTGGACAGCATACTGAAGAACATCTCGTTGTTATTGAACTTTCATTATGGGACTACGACAGACAAAAATAAATGAACAAAAATACGCCATTTCTGTCAACTTTCATCTTGTTGTCCATCCGTTCGTCCGACTATAAATATACCGTGGGTTCCGGTTTGCTAATTGGACTCCAACTTTTTCAGAGAACTCCCGCAGTGCGTTAATTATTAAAAGCTATATACCGTATAGGGGAAATAGAAATTAGTTAGAGAGTTGAAATTTCGAATGTAAGCTCAGGTTGATAAGCCGAGAATTGAGTTTGAGTTAGAATACAGCAATTTATTAATTTTA